AACTTTGATTGAGACTTTAGTTGGAAAATAGAGAGGTAAAGAAAACTATATTTAAAAGATTTCCAGATTAAAGAGAGAAAAGGAGGTCAAATCTATGTGTACTACAATATATATTATTTAAAAAATAGATTCTAATGGGCTCCCTTAACCCTTAACAAGGCATTAGCCATCATCCTGAGTAAATATTACATTAATTTACTAGAACTAAGCACATGTGTTTACTGCATCATTTTCAGCGTATGCCCTTAGAAAAGAATGTAACATAAACCTGAAACAAGAAGTGGTGAGATGATCCAAAGACTGAAAACATGAAATTGAATCAGAAATTTAAATTTAAAAAAAAAATTTAATTGCAGAGGTATGAACTATTCCTTCCTTTGGAGAGAGAAATCCTAAGTGCAGAGATAAGAGATCCCAAAGATGATGTTCAGGACTCATTATCAGAGCAATCAATTAAATATTTCTTCTGGTGTAGCAGAGCCAGTCAGACCATTCAACTTCACAGAGTATGTAGAATGACAAGTAGCAAAGGTGTTTGACCTCAATAACATTTATTTTTCTTTTATTTATTTACTTATTTCTTTTAGTGATCTCTACACCCCATGTGGGGCTTGAACTCACAACACAGAGATCAAGAGTCTAATGTTCTTCTGACTGAGCCAGCCAGGTGCCCCATGACCTAGGACATTTAAATATAAAGATCTTCCTAGATAGAGTTCAGAGTTTAGCAATTGGACCAACTACAAAAGCAGAGATGAACTGGTCTCCCTACTGGGCCTGAAGGGGATAAAAAAAGAAAGGCTATTCAGCCCCTAAAGAATTATACTCTTCATCCAGGATAAATTTCTCTTTACCTTGATAATTATGAGGGTTCCTTCCAGACTTGCCTACTTTCTAATTACATGTTCCAGACAGAATCTGATATGTCAGATTCCTGAAATCATGCCTCAGCCCCTTTTCACTGGTCCACATACAGTCCATTCTCCTATCCCACATAAGAATCTTGTTAGTATATATGCCCAGAGAATGGGGGAAGGGAAATCCCTGGACAGTATTTTTTTTATCATGCTGGTCCTGTCATGAATAGAAATAGATGACCAGATCGCAAACCATCAATAACTAAAAAGAATGGAAGAGAAGAAAATTAATAAAGGGAACAACAGATCTTAGAGACAGTGAACAGAATATTACACTTAACAACAGCTACAATTAATAAAAAACCAATGATATTCTCAGAGAGAGTCAGGAAGCTATCAAATCCACAAACCAAAACAGGCATATGTAAAAGGAGTGATTTCCTTCCACACCCAATAAAGAGTTCTTTGAGTTAAAATATGATGAAACATAACTAATAGACCTAGAAGAAAAGGTGGGCGAATCATAATACAAGGAAAAAGACAAAGACTCAGCATCTGGAAAAGGAAAACAACATCTATTGTAATCTGGACCTAAGATCCAGCTAATAGTACTTTCATAATGGATAGAAGAGAATGGAAGAAAGGAAACCCTGGTAAAAATAATGCAAGAAAATTATCCTGAGCTTAAAGATAAGAGTCTAAATAAAAAGGAAAGCTACAAGCCTTGAAAAGAATACTCTAATTAAAATGAAGAATAATGACGTGAATTTACTGAGGACCAGAAAGTATAATGACAACATTCTGTTCCTTAGATGAGACCACACATTCCATCCAATTGTGGTGTGAAACAATAGAGACTGGGAAAAACAAGAATGTGATCAAAAAGTTTGAGTCCAAAGAAAATGTACTGTGATTTTTGACGATCAATGATGGTAAGAAACAACACTTCCCTAAGAGACAAAGTGACCATTGTCCAGAGCTATTCAGGCGTAGAATGGATGCTTTTTGGGTTCTAATGGGAGACTACATATCACTGGAAAATATGTTTCATTACTAAAGTGATTTGTAGTACTTATAAGCTATTTTTATTGCTGTATCCTTTATTAATGTCTCTTGATGATTTATCATAGCATAGGAATATAGTTAAATTTGATCATTTACAAGGAATCGAGAGTGAATGTTGTCCCTTTAATTGGATGTAATTGATGACTTTCCATCTTTATGAATGGTTGACTAAGTATTATAGTGGTTGAAAACCCAAAATAGTAAGTCAAAATAAATTACAACAAAGCAAAATATAAAGTTTGTATTTTAAACTAGAGCAATTTTTTTTTTTACAAAACAAAGTTTTTGAAGAATCATTATTCGCAATATGTATTCCTTGGATCTTAGTTTCTTTGCTTGCTATTAAATTACAGTGACATAAAGGGAACTCTTTGGTGACTCAGTTTGTTGAGTGTCTGCCTTTGGCCTCATTTGTGATCCTGGGTCTTCGGATCGGTCCTGCATGGGGCTCATATTTCTCCCGCCTGCGATGTCACAGGCCTCTCTCTCGTATATCTCATGTATAAATAAAAATATTAAACATAATTTTAACTGGCATAAAATTAACATTCTTGTATTCAGAGAAAATGATTTACTTCCTGAGTTTATAGATTTAGATGTTTCCTGTTTTTTCAATGTATTTTCTATATGTATTTTCCGCTCTTTCTCTTTCATCTAACCTTAATTTTATTCCCAGATTATTTTGGAGGCACGTAAGCTTTTAAACAGTAGAGAGCAGTGATGGTATCCTATAACTTTTTATTTCTTGATTCGTAGAAAATTGGCAATACCTTTTTACCTCCTATTCTTACTTTCTTCATCTTCAAACTGGTGATAAAACTTATTAATAGGGGATCCCTGGGTGGCTCAGCGGTTTAGTGCCTACCTTCCACCTAGGGCTTGATCCTGGAGTCCCAGGATCGAGTCCCACACCGGGCTCCCTGCGTGGAGCATGCTTCTCCCTCTGCCTGTGTCTCTGCCTCTCTCTCTGTCTCTCATGAATAAATAAATAAAATATTTTTCAAAACTTATTAATATTTGCCTTTTCCTGCTTTAGGGGTATTCACTGCATATCAAAACCTTGATAGAATAAAGTTTAAAACATCATTGTAAGGAGAAGAGCCATTCCTTTTCACTTATCATGCCTTAGTACCAACTTTGATAGTCATTTCCAAAAAAAAAAAAAAAAAAACACAACCATTTCCTGTTTGGGTAAAGGGATTGAATGGTTGTAATTTCAGCCTTGGTGTAGCAGAATACTAACAAAATAGAGGAATTTTAACAAATAGCTCTCAATCCGATTTACTCTATTTCACTGCCTCAAATTCTACTTCTCCTGAAAATGAATGAACAAATGAATAAATGAAGTCCAAATCTGAGTATGATCGACCTATCCACACTCTCTATATATGCCACATTTCATACATGTGAAAATGCAATATTTGGAAAGTGTCAGACTTATTAATACTATTAATCTCTTTTGAGCCTTTATAAAAGACATTAATCTGGATTATAACTGGGTCAGCCCAAGTGACCAAATGAATTTTTCAAATCATTTACCATGCATCAAGAGTTAAAAGGAAATGAATTGCTTAGATATAGTATACTTTAAGAAAGCAACAAATATCAAAGAATTTCTTATACAAATTCCATTTTATAGGAGTCTAAGATTTACCTTCTGATAAGGATGATTGCCAAATCAATTTCTAAGAGCTCTAGTGATACTTCTGATAAAATTGAACCCAACAGAATTCAGTATAGATTCCCTCTTGCCCTATGACTTGGTATCCTGAGGTCACTAGAATTACTTAGAAATTCCCAATCCCTGGAGCACAAGTAGCTAGAACATACTGTTTGCCTTCTTTAGCTTATTGTGTGTGCCATATTCCATATGACCTAATTTAAAGTTTCCAATTTGTTATAAATGATTGGGAGTCTCAAGAACATTGTAACAATATCCATCTACTCCTAAAAGATGCTCTTGTTTATATCCAACTTGTGTGTCTTTATTTTTTAAATGTAGATATTATATCTTATTTGACCAGCTTTCCTCCAGAAATTTGTCTTTATTAAAAAAAAAAAAAAAAGGTACCTTTGCTCAGACTCTTAGCTCTTACAAAGTTAATGACCTTACTCTCCACTTCCCCTCTTCTTCCTCCTGGAGCAGCCACACTGGCCTTCTTGATGTCCAGAATTATTCCACTTCTGCTCCCACTTAATGGTTTTTTGTTTTTGTTTTTTTTGTTGTTGTTTTTTGGTTTTGTTTTTGTTTTATTTAGATTCAATTTATTTATTTATTCATGAGGCATACAGAGTGAGGCAGAGACATAGGCAGAGGTAAAAGTAGGCTCCTCGGAGGGAGCCCAATAGGCGACTTAGTCTTCTGAGTAGGATCAGGCCCTGAGCTGAAGGCAGACACTCAACCGCTAAGCCATCCAGGCGTCCCTCACTTACTGGTTTTTGCCTTTGCTCTTCCACATTCCCCATTCCAAGAACATGGATGTAATTAGTGATCTGCTTCTGTTTTCAGGTCCTCTCACAGGGGGCTTATTTGTCTACATATAATTTCCAGTGCTCCTCCACACACCCCTTCTCCTTTCACCCTGCTTTATTATTTTCTACCCACTTACCTTCATTGAATATATATGTATTTATTGCTTACTTATTATTGTTCAGTTTCTCGCGCAAATCTCAGTTCCCCAGGGGTGGGGATTTCCGTGCACTCACTTCCCCATCCCTAGTGCCTAGCATGAAAGAAGCGCCCAATAAAATAATCCCTCTAGCAAGGAATGGAGCCAATGATCCCTTTAAAAAATTATTTTTACTTTAAAGCCAATAATATTTTAGGAGTATCTTAACGTTAAAGGAAAGAAAAGCAGCCTTTTTTACTCTTCAGTATTTCAAGGAAAAATTGACGTTGTAAGAGGAGGTGATAACATTCCATAGAATCATAGATAAGGTCATGCTGAGAAAAACTGGTACAATAAAGCTAGTCCTAGGAGCCTTATTCTTCCCTCTCAAGATATTTGAAGAGGGTTGCTGACAAGATTCTCCCTGCCAGCCATAATAGCAATGACACACAAATCCATTCTTCATGACCTTTGTTGTCTTCAGTTTACTGGTTGAAGAAATGATGAATCTGAAACTCTTATTTAGGATGTATTTCTTAGTGCTACTTTCAGGCATATGCAGATAGGAGGAGGATTCAGGTGTTTTTCGGATACACCTTCCATTATTGTTACATAGACTTTGACTGCAGAATTTGGCTGCAGATGTCACATTAACAGCATAATGGCCCAATGGCCCTTGGATGGACTTTTGCACAGATAAGCAGGTCTCCTGTAGGAAAAACAGAGATCCATTTACATCACTCTCAAAATGTGATTCTGTTATGCAGAATCATACCTGATTAGTAGTACTAATACTGTACTCATACCTGAAACCTGTATTTGGTAGAGCTGAGGAGGAAGACCCAGGTCTTTAACTGGGAATTAATATAAAGAGATAGTTGTAGTAACACTTTGAAAAGATCATCACTAATATGGTAGGATTATTTTAAATTTAACTTTAATTGTGAAATATCTTCAGCACCAATCTTAATATACATTAATATTATAGGTCAGATTTTCCTAAAACTGTCAAGTTATGCCATTCATCTCCCTACCTCAACCGTTGTAACAGTCCTCCTGAAGTCAAGGGGGGGGGGTAGTCTTTGCATCCATGTTTTTATAACTTTTATATATATATATATATATATATATATATATATATATATAATCTTCACACATATATGTAATTATGAGCAGCTATATTATCTTGTTTTTAAACTTTCACATAAATTTATATCATTAGAGATTTTTATTTTCTGTAACTTGCCTTTTAAACCTAACATTTGCAAGATTTTTGTTTCATGTTGATAAATATAGGTCTGTTTTTTCATTTTAGCTGTGATTCGGTATTTATGGTATAAATACAGCATACTTTATCTATCAGTCAGGGTGTAGTAGGTACAATATAAAAGATCATTATTTATAACCAAATGTCCAAGTCACCTGTGTTAGCATATAGGGTCCAATGATAGTGAGGAAGGTAGTCTTCTCACAAGTTGCCATTACATGACACTGATGTGACTTTAGGATACATTTTCTCCTGTTGATCTTGCTAGGATAGCCTGGACTAATTGACATGATATCATCAGCTAGCCCAAAAGAATCTGGCTAGAACCCTGATAAATTCCTGCCTTGATCCATATCGAAAGAACCTTGGGAAAATCCTGGTAGATCTATTAATAAAATACATTGAATTCTCTGTTAGCACTTCAATTATTTTTGATCAATATGAACACTGGCCCATAATTAAAGTCCAATTAATGTAAAACAGTGGGATGTTTTCTCAATGAGAAGAGGCACCAGCACTGTGAATGCATCTCCTAAGGACTTACAGGGTTCCAGTGGAAAGGCATAAGCAGAATAAAGCTCCTAAAGACAGGTGGTTAAACAAGGTATCACTTTGGGCAGGAGCAAGTGCTGAAAATCCTGCGTGTAATGTTTTTGGTCCAGGGACATCAATCTAAGCTAGCTTCATGTTATATTTAGGGTAAAATGCTATTTTTAATCAAAATAAGACTCCTTATCTGGGGAGTTTTTCAGGACAGATGGAATAAAATAAAAACAAGCAAACCGTTGAATAAAAAAGGGAGAGAGAAAGATTGGGGGAAGACTGTAATCACGGAGAGCAGAGAACACAGGTAAATACAATCCAGTTCAACTTAGGCATCTCCTCTTCTGTCCCAACTTCCAGAACATCATACCCTCCTGGTTTTTTTCTACCTCACTGAATGTTCCTTCATAGTGCCCTCTACTAGCACCTGCTCATCTTTCCTGCCTCTGAGCACAGGAGTACTTTAGGCTTAATTCTTAGACCCCTTCTCTTCTCTAGCTGTACTTCTCTGGATATTTCCATCCTATATTCTTGCTTTAAATAGAACTCCCAAATGTGTATTTCCCAGACTTTATCCCTTAACCAGTTGCATACCCACCTACCTATGTGACATCTCCACCTGCATGCTTCACAAGCATTTCAAACTTACGCTCCAATCTGATCTCCTGATCCTCTTGCCAGCCTGCAACTCTGGCAGCCTTCCCCATCTGAGAATATGCCAGTTTCCTCTTTCCAGTGCCTCAGGACCAAAGCCCTGGGGGGGGGGGTGTTGTGTGCAAAGTGCAGGTGTCTCTAACCAAACCGCAGTGACCCCTCATGAGAGAAAGAGCTAGACCCCATGTGGGAGAAGAACTTTGAAAAACAAAAATAGTTATAAATGCCTCCAAATAAATAAAAATCACATTGCCTGCTTTGTCTCCTCCCCAACCCAGTCTCCCACACCCATCCTTAAAGCAAATGAACAAAGAAATTGTCCCATATTCCTCTTCCCCATACCTAGGACCTAAGCGTTGGGTGTGTGGACAAAGGACTGGAAATGTTAACCCAGATAATAATAGCCAACACATACCTGGCACATATGCCACCCCAGGCACTCTTTTAAGTGCTTTATATATGTTATGATGCAATTCTCATAATGGCCCAATGAGACAGATACTATTACTTTCCCTATTTTACGGATAAAGAAATTGTAGAGTCAACGAGTTGCTCAAGGTCACATGGCTAGCAGGTGACAAAAAGCAAGCACTGGACCCCAAGCAACCCAACCTCAGGCCTCCTACTCTTACCAGCTCCATCATGCTGATTCTGATTCATGTCATGCTGAATGAAAAATGCTGGCTGTTTTTATGTTTTATGAGACTGGATGTTTTAATATCTGAAAATGAGACTATCTGTTCATACCTTGAAGTGAGGAAAAGCTGTGGCTCAGAATTTTCACTTAGGCAGTGTGACAGGTAACCAATAGAACATGTTCAAAGTCAGTTGTGGAAAATAATAGTTATTTTGTGTATGCACTACTCTCAAGAGCAGATTGTTAATAAACCTTTGTATACATATAATTTTTCCTCCCACAAGCATTTCTATCATTATTAATCAGGCAATAAAGAGCCATTTTTAGAAAAGCCATCCTCCTTAGTGTAGATGAAATAATATTTTTAAATTTAGTATTCTTTCTCTTTGTCACATATAAATTATATCATTGCATTTACTGAAATCCCTGCAGAGTAGGTATTATTTTTAGGTGGAGAAACTGAGACTCAGCAAGGTTAATTGATTTGCCCAAGATTACACTTCTAGAACATGAAAATTGAGTTCTCCTTTAGGGGTGTTTGAATGGAAAACCTGTGCTCTTTCCATGCTACTGCTAAACAGAGTGGTTGGTACAAAGTTGGTGCTCAAGCAATGTTAGTCCCTATATTCCTTAAACTTAAAGTCATGTGAGCAGATAACTATTTGCCTCTGATGAGAAATATTAAAACAAAAAACAATATCTAGCATATATTCACAATGCTGACAGAGAAATCACTGCTTACCTTTGAATCAGAATATTCAAATCCTCCCCACAATATTACTCCTGCTGCCCCCAATGCGGCACTCTCACCAATTGTATGTACTAAGTCTTCCTAAAAAAGAGAAGTACCACAAATAGTTTCTGCCAAACTAAATTTAGGCATTGACATTTCAGTGATAAGACTCAACCCATCAATAGTGGTGAAAAACACATTGATAATGTTATCCTTGTTTCTGAAATGATGGGCTGTAGAGCAGAATTAGAAAAAGTAATTCTGCCTTGGATACTTAGTTTGATTTGATAAATATTTATAATGTTCCAGGCAGTTTTCTAGACACTGAGAATATAAAAATGAAATAGATTCCAGTTCCTGTCCTCAACGGAGCTCTTAGTGTGATGGTTGAAGCAGACATATAAACAAGTAATTATAATTTGCTGGAACTCTTTTTTTTTTAAAGATTTTATTTATTTATTTATTTATTTATTTATTTATTTATTTATTTATTTATTTATTTATTTATATATGAGAAACAGAGAGAGAGGCAGAGACATAGGCAGAGGGAGAAGCAGGCTACCTGCTAGGAACCGGATGTGGGACTCAATCCTGGATCCCAGGATCACACCTTGAGCCAAAGGCCCACGCTCAATCTCTGAGCCAGCCAGGTGCCCCTAATTTGCTGGAACTCTTAACTTTGATGTTATACTACCTCTAACACTGAATAATAATAATAATAATAATAATAATAATAAAGAGAACAAAGTTTGCTGTGATAAAAAACAAGCAATTATAGTGTAACAAATTAAGTTCTATATTGTCCCACTAGACATATAGATTAGAGGTACTGCTAATGCTATATGGAGGGGTCTGGTAAAGCTTCCTTCAGGAGTTCAAATTTCAGATATGTCTTTGGAAATTAGTAAAAATTTGTAAGACTGATTAGAGAGAGCAGAATTTTGTGTACAGTAGGAATAATAAGGGCAGAGTTTCCAATGTAGAAAAATACAGTCAACTCAGAGAGCTGCCAGTAACTCTTATGGTAAAGCACAGGGGATTTGGGAAGAAGTGAAGGAATCTGAATCTTTGTATATAAGTAGGATCCAAATACAAGGAATTATTTTATGTTATTTTAAATTATTAGGACTATGAAAAAAAGTTTTAGTACCGGAAAGCCACAAATTTGCAACTTCGATAGATGTTTTTGGCTGTCACATAAAACATGTATTGTAGGAGGAAGTCAACATGGTAGCAAGGGACACCTATTAGGAAGTGATGGACACTGCTCAATGAGAAATGATGAGGGTCTCAACAAAGGCAATGTCAGTCCTTATAAAGCAGAGGGGACAGGCTGAAAGTGATTTGAAAATTAAGATTTTGTTATCTATTGGATAATGGAAAAAGAAGGGAGGATACAAATGACTCTCAAGCTGAGTGATTAAGTAGATTATAATTTACCAAGACCTGAGGACATTATGTTTATGATTATAGATTAAGAACAAAGAAGCAAGGAATAAGGGGAGATGGAACAGAGAAGATGATAGATGAAGGAATCTTCATTGTTCCCCTCCCTCCAAGGAATGGAGAACCAGAGATCTGGTGCAAAGACACAATGTTCAAAAATTAGGATGAGAAAATGGCCATGCCACTACAAAGCATCCTGGCATTTTGGGATGTCTCCAGTAATACTAGGGCTTATTTTCTGTAATTTATATAGGTAATACAACAAGAAAGGAAACCATCCTTTTATTTTACTAGCTAATATCACATTCCTTAAATGTAAATCAAGTCTCTCACTTAAATTGAGACACTTCTGAAAGAAAATATCAAACAGAGTTGGTATTTTAAATTATTTCATTGAAAAGTTATGTTATTTAGACAATAGGGAAAGAAGACCCATATCATTTGTTGATTGATGAAGGCAATAGCATAGTATGAAAATGTTTCATTATAATACTCAGATTAATTCTTTGGTTTTTAGTGAGTAGAGTATGTGGTCTATTGATTTCTGAAGTAGAGCTCAGAGGTGATACTTAGCCCATAATTTACATCAGAAGTCTAATAGCACAAAAAAAAGAAAAGAAAAGGTTATGAACAAGACTTTCATTAAAATGTGGCTCATATCATTCTCTCATTGTCTTTCTTTTCTTAAGATTTTATTCATTTATTTGACAGAGAGAGAGAGAGAGAGAGAGAGAGAGAGAGAGCATAAGCAAGGAGAGAGGCAGGCAGAGGGAGAGAGAGAAGCAGGCTCCCACCCAAGCAAGGAGCCTGATGAAGAACTCTACCTTAGGACTCTGGGATCATGACCTGAGCTGAAGGCAGATACTTAACCAACTGAGCCACCCAGGCACCCTCATTCTGTCATTTTCTATCAAGACAAACTATCTAACTGTATGGACTATTATTAGTTTCTACCATTATTATTATTAACAATAATATTATTACTGTTATTATTAATAATATAATAACACAGTATAGTCACTCAATAAATAATTTTGGAATAATAAATATAACCCAGTCTTTTTCCTAAAAGGATTTCAGAAGGTGACTTGAGTTGAGACCCACTACTTGAGGAACAACTTATTGAGAAGACTTGGGTAGGTATAACTGATATATTCAAATACCTGGAGACCTGACTTTTGAAAAAAGGATTTATTTATTCTAGATTGCACCAGAAGGTAGAAGTAGAATTAATGGTATGAAGTTTTCCAGGGGCAGAGTAGACTGAACATACTCAAGAACTTTCTGTGAATTAACATTGTCCCCAAATGGCAGTTTTTCTTCTGGAATAGGGAGAGCCCCATTAAAAAGTGCTGAAGCAGAGGCCAGGTAAGAATCCATGTTTGGGTGAGAGGTGGATTAGACACTTCTGAGATCCTCCAGCTTTTTGTCAAAATGCTGTGATTCTTTTCCTCCTAAACTTATTGAATGAACATCCATCCCACTAATGAGTAATCCTTCAATGATAGAAATGTCAAGTCTAACCAATAGCATTTGGGTCAATAGATATTTATTCTGAAATATTTGAGGAAGAATTGATACTGCTTTTAAGTTTCCTCATTTCAGACAAGTGGTCTAAGAAGTCTATCCAATGGCCCTGCGTCTGTGTTGGGTAGTGGGATAAGAGAGCTGTGGGCTCACAGATATGGATGGAGATTTCAAGCTTTTCTTATCTATTTATCCAATGATTGAAGTCCTATAACAATGTTCTATCTAAATGACAATCTAGCTAAAGCTTGAATACTTCCAAGTATCTTCAAACCATTATCTTCCAAACCAGCTCATCAACCTCTTTATGCTTCCTACTCTATGTCAAGTCTAAGGACTAAATATCTGTTTCATAAACCATTTTTAACACCTTGACACTGGCCACTAGATCACTTTGTAGACTCTTAAACATAAAATCAATAGAATCTACTATTTTGCAATGAACTTAATTAAAACATAAAAAGGCAGTATAACAGAAACTAATTGCTTAATAATTTACCCAAGGTTTATTCTGTATGCTTTAGATTTGAAAAATTGCTGCTACTATTTCACATTAAAAAGCTGATTCTGAAATTTCTGCAGGGCTAAAATTAATCTGTTGCATCATTTAACTCAAGCCTAACAACTGTTCTGCAGGAAAACCCTGAAAATGCTAAGCTGATAAGAATCATCATCTTAAAACCAAGTAAACATCTAATTGTCAGTGATACTATTTCAGAATTAGCTTGACATTTGAAGAAATATATACCTTTAATCATAAAATAGTGTTCTATTATTAAGGGAAATAATTATACTAAAACATATTTTCACAGATTTTATATAGTCATTGTACTAAATTTCTATTTTTAGGTGAATGACTGTACTTTTTCTTACCTGTGACAAAGCTTCAATACTATGCACATAAAATGGTCTGGAAAAAATAAAAACTGGCAAAACATAGTCATGCCTAGCCATTTCAGCAATCCTCATGGCTTCCCTAACTCGATAATGAACAAATTTCAGAGCACTTAAACTTGACTTCAATATTTTATCCAAATATATTGAAGTATAAAGTGCTGTGCTTTTTTCCCAAAGCCACTGGAGTTGGTCATTGCATAAAATTTCATCATTTGGGCATTTACCTGTGTACATTTGTGGATTTATCCTATAATCATAATTGTAGCAGTCTGGGTAAAGATAAAAGCCCCATAAGCACTTTGGTCTCATTTCTAAAGCCAGTGTGAGAGTGGCGCTCATAAGATTCTTCCCAGAATTTTCAAATTCCTGTTGGGCAACTGTTTTCACTTTCATTTCTGACCAGTCAGGATGGAGGTTTCTAGTGAAGGCTAAGGAGTGGTTTTTATATATTAGTCTATTGCCCCAATTTCTATCCCATTGAGGTTTCCAGCTCTCCCAGTCAATGATAATAAGACCTTCTGATCTCCACCAAGAGACAACTTTTGCAATGTCATCAGTTGTCTTCTTGAGGTGTTTAGGAATACTTATATTCTGTGGTATCCCTCCATTAAAGGGTTTTCCATCTTGAGAGAAATAAGGATAATACCCTAATTCATTTGGATAAAATATGACAATTGTTGATCCCCTCTGAGTCTCTAAAGGATTTGATATAATATTAAATAACTGGAGATTCAAATCCACGTTGAAGAAATGTTGACACTGCATTGTTGGGACAGCCCAGAAAATGTTGAAAGGTTGGTTCTTGATCACTGGAGGCAGTGCTGGTTTGAGGACTGAATGAGTGAACTTGATCAAGGGCAACAGCACTCCTAACCATGCTACCCATGGGTTACACATTTTTTCACCATTACAGCAGTGTCCTTAAAAATAAGAAAAGGAAAAATCATTAGACGTGATGGAGTCAAATGCCCCTTTAGTTTCATATTACACAGTGAGTAGCAAATGAAGTAAACTCACAGTGGTGTTCAAGCTATTCTTTAAATGATAGACCAATTTTTTATAGATTTATGAGGTTTATTGATATCTAGGCCTAATTTATAGTTTCATTTGAACAAGGGGAGATAAAAATGAAACTTTTTTTTTAACACTAGAAATGTGAAAACAAAATCCAGTGAATAAAAACTAAAGTAAAAATCTTCACACAAATTCTCAGTTATGTCAACTCTACTTGTGAGGTATTCTGGTTTTAATTTCCTATTATTCTTGACTACATTGATATAAACCATCCTGTATAGACAAAACTTTGGTTGTAAGGGAAACTAGGAAATAAAAGTATGAATGGTTTGCCATAGCTCCTTGATTACTGGAAAAGTGACCAAGAATATGTCCTGTTAAAAATTAACAAACTTTGACATTTTAACAACAATTAATTAGAATTAAAAAGAACCAATATCAGCAATAAGCAATACTTTTCTTGCTATTTGAAATGCACTGGCCTCAAAGATTTGTCTACTTCTTTATCTGTTTTGTTTATAAAAGAAAGCAATCACCCTTGGATTTAGCACAGGCTAGAATACAAAACAGACATGACATTTACCTGCTATGGATTTGGTGCTGTCTTCTCTCAGGAACATAAATAAGCCTTAAAACATGTATTAGTTCTTTAAATTCATGGTTTTCTCATCAAGATTTTAGACTGTCTTTTCAGCAGTTAAATCCCAATGAAACTTCGCTCTTTAAAATCCCTTCTAAATAGTCAGTTGACCAAAAACTGCCAAAGAATCTTCCCAGAATACGACGACTGCCTAATAAATGACACTTTCCAGCCAATGAGATCTCATTTAGAAAGCAGTAGAGTTAAAGTTATATATCAAAATTATTTTATCGTGTATATTTTTACATAAAGGAATCACAGATTTTTCTCTGATGTAATTAGACTCAGTATCTTTTTGAGAGTCATACATCTTGTGTAGTTCTTGCTGTCTTTATTTAATATATTAAATGCAAGAAATGATGCCAGCCAAAATCATATGTTAACTCTGGCAAAATAGCACCTTAGTTTGTAAAGACTTTGGCATTATCTTGGGCCCTGGCATGCATTTTGTAATTAACTTCTATTATAGAAACAAAATTATGCATTATTAAACAGAATGAATTTTTAAATATAATTAATTCTTTCCCCATGATGCTTACTGAGATTTTATTCCATTTTTTAGCGATTTTTATTACTCAGAATATAAAGCTAGATCGAAATTTTCTGACTTATAACCTACATACATGCATATATACATATACCTACACGCACTTTGTTTTTTGTTCAACAAATCTGTAGGAGTGCTGATGACACTGACTCCATCTTTGGTCCTCCATCTTGTTCATGCCTCCTTTGGGGCTATTGTTCCAGGCCCCATGGAAGTTAATGTAAGCCCTGCCTGGAACATGGGAAGACTTGTTCTAATCTCCCTAAAGTGGTGCCTAGAAGGCTCCACATTAGATAACTAGTAGAGAGCCTATGATGTGCAGGTGGCACCACTTTAGATAACTGCCCTTTGACCTCACCACCATGCCCCTGACTATAAAAACTGTGGCTGAAGGTCTGGACTGGGGGGGGGGGAGCTGTGTGGCTGCCTGAATCCTTTGTATGATGTAGGAGATTTTCTTGATTGCAGATTCTCAGTTACAGAGGACATAACGGACAGTTTTGCCAGACCAGGGAGTGATGTGAATTTGGCTCAATGAGATGATACAGAGAGGAAAATACAAGTGATAAAAATAACCTGGGAGTTTGGGTTTTATGCATTAAAGGCATGACGGAATGAGTTCTGATGGGTTTTATTTATTTACTTTTTATTTATTTATGATAGTCACAGAGAGAGAGAGGCAGAGACACAGGCAGAGGGAGAAGCAGGCTCTATGCACTGGGAGCCCGATGTGGGATTTGATCCCGGGTCTCCGGGAAAGCACCCTGGGCCAAAGGCAGGCGCCAAACCGCTGCGCCACCCAGGGATCCCAGTTCTGATGGGTTTTAAAGGGAGGTTAATAATCAGTTCCAATGATAATCTACTTGTTATTGGTATCTTAGGTATTTGCAGTGAGAAGTAGGGGGGCAGGGGATCATTTTGCCAATAGCATTCAGAGTTCTGTGGTCTCTGTTTTCAATTCTGCCAGGAACTGTGTCAAAGGTGAGAAAGATACGGTTTTACCATGCTTTTGTTATACATTTTCTTCAACTGAAATGTGGACTTATTAAGATGGTTCTAAATATAGGTGTGTATGTGTACATATATTAGAGTCCAAATTCATTATGATTGGGGATTTTATTCTTTCCACTCAATGATAGCAAATCTTGTGATGTCTCCCAGAGAGATGTATTTTTTTACACATGATAAAATGACTAATCACTAAGCTTGTTATGATAATACATTATTAACTTAGGATCCAGTAAAAAATCTCTCTGGGGTTTATAATTTTAAACCAACAAAAGTTTAGGGGCACTTGGCTAACTCAGTCAGCAGTACATGTGACTCTTGATCTCCAGGTCCTGAGTTCAAGCCCCAGGTTAGGTATAGAGATTATTTTGAATTAAAAAAAGAAATGAGGGGGACCTGGGTGGTTCAGTCAGTTAAGTGCCTTCAGCTCAGGGCTTGATCCCCACTCTTCATCAGGCTTTCTGCTCAGTGAGGAGCCTGCTTCTCCCTCTCCCTCTCCTACCGCTCCCCTACCCCTGCACATACTCTCTTGCTCTATCTCAAATAGATAAATAAAGTATTAAAAATAAAATAAAATAAAGCATTGGCCTGAGGGCAGGCATCCAGTTTAAAAAAAAAAAAAGTTTGTGACTATTCTTTAGAACCTCTTAAAATACGTTGTGGGCCATTCGGGCAAAGATGAAATTTTCTCTCAAGCTGAGGTCTTGTTTGAGTGAAAATTGGAGCCCTGTTGAAAGCATTTGTACTTTTTATTTTTCTTACCTGCCAGTTATTTATGGTTTTTATTTTCTCAGAGAAAGAGCTATAGTTCTGTAAAATGAAAAAGAAGAGAAAGAGTGATTAAAGCAGATTTGATTCAATAGAGTATTTTGCTCAAATTCACCCATATTTCCAATTTCTAATGAAATGACAACCTAAGTCAAATTCAAGTTATTTAAATTTCTGTACCAAAAAAGAGGGAAGTAACAAAATTCTCTGAAAAGCTTATGAGATTTATACTTTCCCCAGAAATAAGTAGGGAAGTTGCTATTTATCATATAGGCTTTAAATTAGGGTAAAAGAAATTATGTGAACTGTTAAGAGAGGAACTGAGGCATATTTAAAATTTTAGGAGTTCTTTTGAGCAAAAACCAATTTGAATTGGGCAGCACCAAACTAGAAGTGCTTAAAAGAACTCTGATAGGAGCTCTGGGAAAGACTTTTATGGGGTGAAGGTGAAAGTAAAGCAAGGCAATTATTGATTGGCTATAGCTTAAAGGCCTAGTTGGCTGTTTGTGATTGGTTGTCCTTAGATCTCAATTTTGTCATCTTGAAGCATAAACTTGGATTTACTTATGCAGGCCATTATGGTTTTAGAGCCACTTCAGAACAACATTATTTTCCCCAAAAAAGGTCCAGAGCAGGGGTAACTGTAGAACAACCATAGCATCAGCAACGAAAGGATTTCATATGGAATAGCTGGACTATCTTGTCCCTTCCCGTTTCTTAAACACAAGGAGCACTGGGCTGAGGCTTTTATACCAAGCTGAATCCTTGAGAACTGCTCTCCAAACTTGTGGGACTGAATACTCCAACCCTCTCATCATTGACTGGTTCCCCTTAGGTGCCTCCAAAGTCACCTCATTACCATAACAAGAGACACCTTCCATCCTCTCCTCAAGGGAAATTGCAAGGGTTTTAGCAGTTCTGGCCAAAAAGGGCAATGATAACCAAAGATCAATAACATTTCTTACTATAAATCATAATATAACAGGTGGATGCATATTTTACATTGCTATGTCTTCCTATTTTTTGTTCCTTTTATTTTATGTAATAACCTATTTATCTTTTACAGTACTCTGTCAGGAAGTCTATTTTGATATTAATATAGCTTCTCCAGTTTTCTTATGCTTACTGTTTTCATAGCACCGTATCTTTTCCCTTCCTCTTACTTCCAGGCTGTCTGTATCTTTTTATGTAAAATGTTTTTCCTGGGGCACCTGGGTAGTGCAGTCAGTTAAGTGTCCACCCTTGATTTCTGCTCAGATCCTGATCTCAGGTTTCTAGGATCCAGCCCTATCTCAGGCTCCACCCTCAACGTAGAGTCTGCTTGAGATTCTCTTTCTCCCTCTCCCCTCTGCCTCTCCTGCACATGCTGTCTGTCTTTCTCTCTCAAATAAATAAATAAAATCTAAGTATATATATATATATATTTATTTATTTATTTATTTATTTAGAAAAATAAAGTGTTTCTCCTGTAGGTAGCACACAGTTGAGACTTGCTTTTTTTTTTTTAACACAGTCCAACAATTTCTGCCTTTTAACTGATGTGTTTAGTCCATTTGCACATAATGTAATTATCAGCATAGTTGATTTAAGTCTCTAATATGGCTACTTATTTTCATTCTACATCTTCTCTTTTTTGTTGATCTATTAGGCCTTTCTTACCTTCTTTTGGATTACCTGAATATTTTTTTTTCTCTTTCCATTTTATCTACTGGCTTCTTAGCCATATCTCTTCTTATTATGTTGCTAATGTTTGTTCTACAACTAACAATAGGATTACTTAGCTAATCAATGCCTATTTACTGTCAATATTATCACTATTCACACTTTACTTTTTATACCTGACAGTTTCTGTTTCCCATTTTTCAATTCTCACTTTCCACTTGACATTTTATACTCCATGCTTCACAAATGTAATAACTTTACAACAACAGTATAATTCTATTTATTCACTCCCCTGCTTTTACAGACATAGTAGGAAAGTAAAACTGCCATATTCAGACATTACTGCTTATGTAGAAAACTCAAAAGGATCCACAAAAAATTGAAAAAAAATAGCAGAGTTTAACAGATAGCTGGATATAAGATTAATATATAAGTCTGGTGTATTTCTATTCACCAGAAGGAAATAGCTAGAGAATGTAATTAAAGATTGAAAACGTGTGTAAGACTGCTACAAAGAAAAGTTATTAATCTGCATTGAGATATATTATCAGAGACCCAAATAAATGGACTTGTGATTTCTCTACCCTTGCCATTTACTACATAACAGTGCATCTATTGACTCATGCTGTCTCCACCTTCCCAAACTACTTGGGGAAGAGAGGCCAGAGATTAAGAAGGGACTTGTCTCTGAGTGGCTTTGTCAGTTAGACATCGGCCTTTGGCTCAGGTCATGATCTCAGGGTTCTGTGATGGAGTCCTCCTGCATTGGTATCTCTGCCCTGCAGGGATTCTGCTTCTTCCTCTCCATCTGCCCCTCTCTCCCACTTGTGCTCTGTTCTCTCTCCCAAATTAAAATAAATAAATAAATAAATAAATAAATAAATAAATAAATAAATAAATAAAAGCACGAAGAAGAAGAAGAAGAAGAAGAAGAAGAAGAAGAAGAAGAAGGGGAGGAGACTTGTCTCTGAGACCCTGGTTAGGAATACCCACCCTCACCTCTGGACGTGAGAATAGATTATATTTCTAATCTGTGAAATTATTATGCTTAAGGCAAAAAATTATAAGGCCTGGTAAAAAGTTCACTAACATAAAGAGATCAATAATGTCTCAGCTATGGCCAAATAGCTTAGTGAGTTCTGGCTGCAATAACAAAATGTCATAGACTAGGTGGTTTATCAACAGAGATTTTTTTTTTTCTCACAGTTCTGGAGGCTGAAAGTCTGAGATCAGAATACAAGCACCCTCAGGTTGCAGTGAAGTTCCTCTTCCAGGCTGTAGAATGCCAATTTCTCATTGTAGCCTTACACAGCAAAAAGAAGGTGAGAAAAGGGCAGCCTGGGGGGCGGGGGGGGGGGTGCTCAGCGGTTTAGCGCTACCTTCAGCCCAGGGCCTGATCCTGGAGACTGGGGATCAAATCCCACATCAGGCTCCCTGCATGGAGCCTGCTTCTCTCTCTGCCTGTGTCTCTGTCTCTCTCATGAATAAATAAAAATAAAATCTTAAAAAAAAAAAGGTGAGAAAACTCTCTGGGGTCCCTTTTATAAGAACACTAATCCCATTCATGAGAGCTCCACCCATGAATTAGCAGGTTTTACCTCCTAATACCATCACATTAATGATTAGGATTTTAATCTATGTATTTTAGGGGTATGCAAACATTTGGCTCATTGCACCAAAGTTTATAGAGATACTAACGTTTGGATTTGATGAATTTTGACAGTTTACCACATTCACAACACCATGCTTGATGTTAAAGGTTGATTCAAATTGTCTCTTAGGTCCAAGAACTCAGGCTAATGTGTGTGGGGACCTGTGTATATATACACAGATGTGTGCGTGTGTGTGTGTGTGCATAGACTGGGAATAGGGGAGGTTAGGGAAATATACATCTCAATTAAAATACCAGGCAGAAAGATACAAGTGCTAACTTTTTTCTTTTTAAAAAACAGCTGCTTTCTTATAAAATTAACGATTATTGTACTGAATATGGAAGAATGTAAAGAAAAATTCGGATTGATTGTATTTACATTACCCTCAAAATAATATTTTTCTGTGCACTTTTACAGAGATTTCTCTAAATGTTAGTCCACATTTGTATGAGCAGAAACCCTGTTCCACTAGAGTGTACCATCAGGCAGTCTGGATACCTGGGCTCTCTGTGAGCTCCTGGTAGAGCAGACACTTAATATCAGAGATAGGGACACTGGAACAGAAGTCCAGAAGACATGTTTTCTGATCTTTATGAAGCCCAGGACTGTGGAAGAAAACATGAATCTCCCTTGCAGATAGGCTTCTAATTTGTAAATTCAGTTAGATTAATTCAGGTTCCCTGAAAGAGATGGCTAGAGGGAGAGTCCTGGAGGGAAATACAAGGGAGGTATACTAGTCTCTTTTCTCTTCTTTCTTTCTTTCTTTCTTTCTTTCTTTCTTTCTTTCTTTCTTTCTTTCTTTTTCTTTCTTTTTCTTTCTTTCTTTCTTTTTCCTTCTTTTTTTCTCTTTAAGTAAGCTCTAGCCCAACATGGGTTTTGAACTTAAGATCCCAAGATCAAGAGTCTCACACTCTTCTGACTGAGTCAGTCAAGTGCCCCAAAAGGTATAATAGTCTTGAGGGCTAGGTAGATTGAACTTCAGCATCCAAAGATTGGAGGGAACAGGTACAATGATTGTGTGAGATTGGGTTTGACCATTTCCTGAGCTCTTCTTGGCTCCTTCAGAAGCCTGCATGCTCTGGATACAGGAGTTGTGAGATAGGAGAAAGTAAGGCAGGAGAGTAAGGTTCTTGTCTCCAGAGTCGAAGAGTGAATCTCATGGACAAAGGAGAGTGAGTAAAGCAACAGTTTTATTAAGCAAAGATACAGAAAAAGCTCTCAGGATTGAGAGAGGTCCCAACAGGATTTCTAATGTGGGCCTCCACTGACAGTCTTATTTAGAATTGACCAAGGAGCCTGTGGCTTTATTCTTGTGATGTCTTGGTTTGAGTAAGGACTAGTGATAACATCTTTAATGCCTTACTTTCTTTTTAGCATCTGGTTATTCTTTGTTGGTCACAAGTGACTGTCCTAAAAAAGACTACCACCACCCCTCCCTTGACACACAGGGCAGGGTGATCTAGTGTGTTCCCATACCTCTGGTTTTCTTACACGTCTGCATTTATGATTTCTGTGAGCCTGATCCCATAGACCCCTACCTGTCTCTCCCTACCTAGCCCTTCCTGTCCTTTACTCAAAAGCCCTGTTTCCCACCATTGTAGGGACCTATAGTTCTCCTGTGGAATTCAGACAAGATTCTCACCTACCAGGATAGAGATAAAAGGATCAGTTTGTAGTGGTCTGGAATAGATTGGTGACCATGCAGGAAAGGGCAGGGACCAGACCCTTGAGCAAACTAGGTCACAATGTAAGAGCATATGATGCTTGAACAGAAGGAATGTGAAGGGCTGATTAAGTGAGAATCTTTCTTATCCCTTCCTCTAGGAATCCACAAGGTAAAAATTGGAGAGGGCAATCAGAATGAAATGTTGATCATCCACATGAGGGATATCAGAGCCCTGGGGTTCTGTGTATTATTTCACACATGAAACATCTATCCTCAGTGGTAGATGAAGTCAGGAAAAATACGTGCATAACCCTACTATCATACATTTCTTTAGAAAAACAATGTCATGTCATATATGCCATTTACTTCTGTGCTTTATTCACATCAGGCAGATGGTAGCTTGTGAGGATAATCAGCTTAGCTATAGATGGAGGAAAGCTACACTAACATGTATATAGTATATAGTAGAACTAACTTATGAATTATAGTATAAGATGATTATATAAATAACCTACAAATTATGTGGAATAAAATCCAGTTCTCTAGGTTAGACATACCTGGAATGCCACATGAATTCAAAACATGAAGACATCAGATGTGGTTAAAGAAATCTGGATAAGGGACACTTGGGTGGCACAGTTGGTTAACATCTGATTCTTGGTTTCAGCTTGAGTCCTGATCTCAGAGTCTTAGGACTGAGCCCCACATCAGGCTTCATGATTAGCTTGGAGTCTGTTTGTCCCTCTTCCTCCTTGTTGCCACTCTCCATGCATGCTCTCTCTCTCTAATTAAATAAATAAAATCTTTAAAAAAAAAAAGAAGGAAAAACTGGATAAGCTTTGTGCTGGAGATGATACTTAAGGCTTAACTTGCCAGCAGAATTTGAACAGGCTGAAATTGCAAAGGGACTCCAGATGGAGGGAATCACAAGAAGAAAGATACAGAGGAAGGAAGACAAAGGGCACATACAAATGGTAACAGACATTGCTTTTTGAGGTGTAGATATCTTAAGATGGTGACATCTGGCAAGCAGTTAGGAATTTTTCTAGGGGTGTAGAATTGGCAGTCTTCTGCGTTGACATGGTGGTTAACACAAAGGAGGGAAATATCTACAGAAAAGAGATGAGACCTGAAGACAGAATTTTGGGGATAATCTCAAAATCAAAGGGAGAAAATATTCAACAACAGAAAGAAAAAACAAAAATCACAGAATTTTGGAGGACAGTATAGTGTACCTAAAAATGAGGGGCCTTGTTATTTAAGGAAGGAAGGAAGAATATGAACACCAAGGAAAGGCAACTTGCTGAGGCAGTCAGATGTTGACTAGTTTCAAAATATGAAGGGGTTTATGAGGAAATTAATTGAGTGAAAGCAGTATTGTTCCTTAGACTTGAGTACAGTTTCCCTATGACCTCTCGATATCTCCTGCTCAAGCTCTTTCAGCTGGAGTGGAGGGGGAGCCATTCTCAAGAAGGAATGCCTAATTGGTACAGGCTTCTCAATGTCGGGGTACTCAACTCAATATGCTCCTGAAGAGCTAAAGGATTGACACTCAATTTGAAGTCCTAGTAAATAATTAGGTGCATGGAACTTGGTGTCTTTTAGTCCTGAAGTAACAGAAAGGCTGGTTTTGAGAGATTTAAGAGAGAGGCGTAAGAGAGCAGTAAACAACTGTAGATGTCCCTAATATAAAAGATATATGTGGAATAGCACTGCTTCTTTCATGATTATTTATTAAACCACTCTCATCTTTGCAAGCAGTTGAGAAATAAGTATTTGTTATTCTTTAGTTTTGCCTTTGGTGTCTTTTGATTTTATCTTTGACATTTAAGATTCAGTATCATAGAAGGATCTATACCATGCTCAAAAGTAACAAACAAGCTATACTCCTTCGCAGGGAAGTCTTTAAAAAAAAAAGAAAGAAAGAAAAAGAGACATCTGGGTGACTCACTGGTTGAGCAACTGCCTTTGGCTCGGGGTGTGATCCCAGGGTCCCAGGATCGAGTTCTGCATCAGGCTCCCTTTGGGGAGCTTGCTTCTCTCCCTGCCTGTGTGTCTCTGCTTCTCTCTCTGTGTCTCTCATGAATAAATAAATAAAATCTTTGAAAAAAAATAAAGAAAAAAGAAAAAAAGAGATCACCCCAACTTGATCTCTATGATTTAGTTTAAATTTTATAATGTTGATTAATAATATGGGGTGCCTGACTGGCTCAGTCCGTAGGGCACGTGACTCTTGATCTCAGAGTTGTAAATTCGAACCCCACGTTGGGTGTAGAGATTACTTAAAAAAAATCTTTTAAAAAATTTTTAGATTACTAATAAATGTAGCTCAATAATACACAAAATAAAGTAGATTAAACCTGATTTATTACCTAAATCAAAAAGCTAGTGGATGCAAAAAGATAAGAGTTCAATTTAAATGTAATTAAACAGGATTCTCTGAAACAGAGAAGGCATTCTTGGGTGATGTGTAAAAATAGGAAAGCTTTCCTGAAGAACATATTACCTGAACATATGAAAAGATTTACAGTAGAGGGAGCTACGGTAAAGAAAGGGATATGCTTAAATTTAGTTTTCCAAAAGTCCATATGGACATTTAAAATTAGAATTATCAAGCAAAAAAAATATTATTTTATATAATGTCAGAAACTTCTGCAGTAAGCATCTGGAGAAATCTTTATTTTTAGAGGTATAAAGCATTACATTGGTTGCTTTGGCAGTAGTTATACTTGGAGATTACATACTCTGTTTCTTCTCCCAAACTCATCAATCAGCAAAATCACTCCTCCTCTCCTTGGGAGGGACGAGGGAAAGGATAAAGGTGGTTTCTTTTCCATACTATTCTAGAAAAATCCTTCCCCTCAAGGACATAAAAGCCTAACACCTCGTCAGTCTATAAGGTGACCACACATTCTGGTTTGCTGGGCACAGTCATGGTTTATACCCATTGTTCCCAGGTGGTTAATAGCAGTGCCACCTTTTAATTCTCAAAACTTCCCAATTCAGACAATAAATTTTATAGACACCCTACATATGTAGCAATTGCCCTATGTATACTCAGGAGACACACAATACCTAAAATAAAAATTTTAAAGACTATTCTTTCAAGGATCATTTCTACAATTTGTTACTAGAGAAGTTTCTCTGAATGTGTAGAGCACCAGAAACTACCGGGAGGAGGCGCAGCATCTCTCCAGACTGTGAAGCTGGTTTTTAGTGTTTGCTTCTGCAACGCCATTCACCATTGATATTGGTTATTTCTTCTCTTCCTTCGGGAGAGCAAGAGAGAGAGGATGCAGATGAGGAAATGAAGGAAGGAAGGAAGGAAGGAAGGAAGGAAGGAAGGAAGGAAGGAAGGAAGGTTATTTAAAACTTTCTACTTAGCCTACAAAATGGAGGAATTGAAATTGCAAAAAAAAATCATAAAATCAAACACGCAATAAAATTGATGTCAATTATATATGATACTTTGATTAACTTTATATAGGAGTTAAACTGAGTAGGAATAAGCAGGGTTTTAAAAATATTTAATTTATTTGAGAGAGAGGAAGTGTAAGAAAGAAAAGAAAGAAAGAAAGAAAGAAAGAAAGAAAGAAAGAAGAAAGAGTGAAAAGAAGCAGAACCTCCCCACCCCCATCAATAGAGAGCCCCAGGTGGGGCTCGATCTCAAGACCAGATCCCAGAACCCTGAGATCATGACCTGAGCCCAAAGCAGACACTTAACTGACTGAGCCGCCCAGACACCCCAGGAATACGCAGTTTTTACATATTTTACATATTTTTAAATACATATTTTTTAAATAACAAAAGGGTACAATTGTTAGCCATCTTCAATTAAGTGATTTATACTTTTTTACTCTTTGTTCCCAGGAGGGAAAAGGTCCCATGTAGTCATTAGTTGAAGCTAATGCGTGCACTGAAATAGCTCATCTATTTTTGTGACACTATTAAGGTCCACAGATAGAAAATCGGCCAAAATTTCTTCCCTGGATTAATAACTCCCAATACTACTCCCACCTCCACTTAATTTCACTTAAATTTGAAAAAGACTTTTAATAATTAAATTAGTTTTAGAAATTTTTAATAAGTTTTATAAATTTTTTTCAAGTGCAGGGGCCCCTGGTAGTTTCCATCTGTGCAGCATGCAACTCTTGATCTAGGGGTTATGAGTTCAAGCCCCACATTGGGCATAGAGATTACTTTAAAAAAAATTTTTTTTCCAAGTGCTTCAGTATGGAAACCAAAAATGAAATGAGAAATAATATGAACAAATGCCATAATTGAGTATATTCTTATAAGCCAACAAAGCGTAAGGAAATAAATAGGTAATAGGTAAAGGAAGATTAGTGAAGCCTATTTTTTCAAGGAGTTTACAATCTAGTGGATGAAATAGGCATAAAAAACAATGTGGTGGGCTCCCTGGGTGGCTCAGCGGTTTGGTGCCTGCCTTTGGCCCAGGGCATGATCCTGGAGTCCTGGGATCGAGTCCCATATCAGGCTCCTTGCATGGAGCCTGCGTCTCCCTCTGCCTATGTTTCTGCACCCCCCCCACCTCTCTCTGTGTCTCTCATGAATAAATAAATAAAATCTTTCAAAAAAAAAACAATGTGGCATAATAAATGATATTTCAAAATAACATTGATATTAAAAATGAGTATTACACTAGAAAGAATTTTTTAAATGCAGAGAAATAGTGACTACATTCTAATTGAATCATAGCAGATGATAGACTTACTTGATTTTTAAGTACCAAAAGAGAAGGAACTTCTGTTTTTACTTTATAATGAATTCACATACCAATAAATATATTGAGAAAAAATTCATATTAGAATTGAAATCAAAGACAGACCTAGTTTAAAATGCAAGACCCTTGTTTGTAGAAAAATATGTCTGATAAAAAGAACAAAATGAACAAAAAACACGGAGCCAAATGAATAAATGGGAAATGATTAACAAAAGTGTCAACAAAAGGATTCATAATTGCCTTTGAAAGTACTGTATTTTTTTAAAAGACCTAGAAAAATGATCCTACTGATAAAAGAATAGGGAATTGAAAATATTGGCTAAAAAGGAGCTATAAAAATAAATAATATTTTCTGCATTGCCTTCTAACAAGAAAATTAAAGGAAATGTGCAATTAAGGAAAAACAGTGTCTACATAAGGCTTAGGGAAAGGAAGAGGAGAGAATAGTACATTGAATGCGGGTCAAAGGGAAATAGCATTAATATAAACGGGTACTAAAGGAGCTTGTGAAGAGTTTGCTGATGCATTCAGAGCTGACTGACCAATGAGGGCACCCTCACTGAACTATTGCAGCAGCCTCTTACCAGTCTCTCACCTTGTTCTCTTGCTTTGTCCAGTCTAGTTGCAACACAGCAACTACAGCGTCCTGCTAAAAACTTGTCAGATCATGCCACTCTTCTGCTCATAATTTTTCAATGGCCTCCATGCCCCTCAGAGTAGATTAAGGTTTTATAGCATCCTAGTAAGCCCTATATGATTTGGTCACAGTTTCCTCTCTGACTCCTCTCCCATCTCCCCCAAAAACCTCTCTCTGGTCACATCAGCATCCTTGAAGTCCCAGCAACAGACCAGGCCACACCCTCAGGGACTTTGCTGCAGCTCAGTGGTTCTCAAAGGACGACCTAGGGATCTCTGTAAGTCCTCAGGATCTTTTCATGCGATCTCAATGGTCAACAATAAAATGAAAGATCTTTGGGGTCTTTAACATATTTTAAGAGTATAAAAGAGTCCTGAGACTAAAGCATTGAGAATCATGCCTCTCGTGAATCCACTCCAGCCTGGGGTAGCCTGGCCTCAGATATCTGCCCAGCTCAGTCCTATTCCTTCTTCAATACTTTGCTTGTACTTTACTATCCTGGTAAGGCCTACCCTGACCACCTCTTCCCAATCCCAGACTTCTCATTCTCTTTACATTTTCTCTTTTCCATGGTATTCATTACCTTGCAACATACTATATAATTTACTTAAATATCACATTTATTGTCTATCTCTAACTGTGATTAGCATTGCATAATATATAGAGTTACCAAATCACTATGTTGTACACTTGAAACTAATATATGATATGTCAACTATATTTTAACAAGAAAAATTTTAATTTAATTTTATTTATATATTTCCAAGACATATTGAAATAGTGGCTTTACAAAATGCAGCAAAGATACATACATTCATCAAAATTTAATTGGGGAAAAACATTTAAAGAACATATAAAAATAAAGGTAGCATAAAGACTGCAACTTTTTCTGGTGAACCTATGGCAAAAGAAAAGAAATCTTTGAAACATCTTGTATCAGTAATTATGTGCTCCAGCTTGAGGATGACACACACCACTTCCATCACTGTTCATTACTTATTAGCTAGAACTAGTCACCTGGCCCCACCCAAACAAAAAAGGGACCAAAAGTATACTCCTACCATTTATCTGAAGGCAGGAACCTGAAAATATTTGACAAATAGCACTACTGCATTTGATAAATCAATTCAATAACCAAGATTAATAAAATTTCATGTGAAATTAGTTCAGAATATACAATGATTGTAAAAAGCAAGTAAGTTCCAGTTTCATTATAAATAATAATTGGCTTAATCTTGACTTATATAGTAGAAAATAGGTTAAAGGAGACGCCTGGGTGGCTCCCCAGTTGAGTGTCTGCCTTGGCTCGGGGTGTGATCCTGCAGTTCTGGGATCAAGTCCCACATCGGGCTCCCTGCAGCGAGCCTGTTTCTCCCTCTGCCTAAGTCTCTGCCTCTCTATCTGTGTCTCTCATGAATAAATAAATAAAATCTAAAAAAAAAAGAAAAAAGAAAAAGAAAATAGGTTAAGATATATTACATTAATCATAATGAACTTTATTAGTGGTTTGGATTTGGGGGCATTTCATATCTTCCTTCCTTCCTTCCTTCCTTCCTTCCTTCCTTCCTTCCTTCCTTCCCTCTTTCTTCTTTTAGCAAATATTTGTTGAGCCCTTCTATGTATAGCTAATGGCTCTAGGTAATGGGGATACAACAGTGAATAGAAAAGATTCTTGCCTCCCACAGAGCCTACTGGGAGAACACTGACAATAAACAGGTAAGCAGAATTTCAAAATCAAAATAGTTATATATTGTGATAAATATTATAATGAAGATAAACATTTGATAAAGAATACCTGGGATAGTCAGAAAAGTCTTTTGAAAGTGATATTTGAGATGAGATGTATTTAGACTATAAAGGAGCTAGTTTTGCAAAGATCCAGAGAAAGAGAATTTCAAACACAGGGGACATGTGCAAAAGTCCTGGCATGACTGAGAAGTAGCAAGGAGTCCTGTATGGTTTGTACCGGGGGAAGAAGAAAGGTGAGAGATGAAGTTACAGCGCCAAGCAGAGACCAAACCATGTAGGGCTTTGTTGTTGAAGGTGACAGGTTTAGATTTTATTCTAAAAGGGGTACATAAGGGGAGCTTAAACAACCTCATGGCAGCAGGAAAAAAAGCAAAGATCTTGAGTGTAAGGTCTTTTGCTTCTTCTGGTTTGTAATATCATATTCTTTATCTACCAGGATATTGCCTACCTTTGGAGGTATTTAAGGCTGAAGTTTAAGTTGGGCGCAGCTGTCATTTGGCTTGTCTAGTTTCATGGTAATAACACTTGGGTGGCTAAATCTCATTATGTCCCGCTGGTCCAGGTCCCTGCTCTAGATCTGGCTGTGCTTTCTATTTGATCGGAGTCTCTTCTAACATCCTGGCCACTAGGCCTGTTGCTCTGCTAAGGTGACTCCTTCTGGCATGCTCTCCAGTCTGATGCTCAATAACTTGGGGTCAATGCCTACCACATAGAATCAGAGGCAGCCCAGGAAAGCTACGTGACCATAGTTCATTTTTAGATGACTCTGCTTAAAATTGGTGTATGGCAGCCAGCATGTTTGCTTCCTTCCAGAATCTCAAATGGTGAATAGGAGGGAAAAGTACTCCTCTGCTCTCAGTGTTCTTCTCACTTAAAGAATGCTTAGCTCTAGGCCAGAGCCAAAACCCACAGAGGGAAAAGTACAGAGACATCTGCTCCCCTCAATCTTATTTTCTTACTCTCTTCTTCTTCCCATTATTCTCCTTAGTTCAAAAAGGAATTTATCTGATCCCAGAGAAGGCCTGGCAATCATAGGTAGGAGTGACATCTCTCTATTGCTGGAGAACTGCTTAGCCAAATATCCTTCAAGCTAACATGGCTATTATCTTGCTGCACAATTCATATTTAAAGCATATGAAAAGCAGAATTTTAATTTATTATTTATTCTTTTTCAAG